GGCCTAGAGCCCACCCCTGATCCCAGCACCAGCTGTCTCCTGTGCAGGTGCCTGAGGCTCCATGACCCCTCCCCTTTGGTGCCTGCTGGGCTGAGGGTGAAGCTCTTGCTGGCCACCCCACTGCAGAGCCCTATTGGCCCCTGGTCTCCAGCTGCCTGCCCAGCAGGTCCCAGGCAGCGACCCCATGGCAGCCTGAGAATAGTGCAGGGCTGGGGTAGGACAGACTGACATACACAGGGTGGGCTGCAGAGCCTGGCCACCTGCTCCCTCGCCAGGTTTTGCTGGGGAGTGGGAGTTCAGGATTGGGCCCTGATCCTCCCCCTACATACCTGGGACCAGGAACCTGCTCAGGGCTGGGGGGTGTTTTACTCAGCCCTGGGAGCTGAGCCACTACTCAGCTTTGGGCCCTGTCCCCATCCAGCAGGGCTGGGTGAACCAGGGGCACATGCACAGATGCTAAGGGACAAGCCAGGAAAGGTGGGGGCTTGGGCTTGCATGGGGCTTGCCCCCCCTTTCACTTGAAGCAATAGGGGGGTCACCACCAGAGAAAGCCCTGAAAGCTTCATTTGGATGAAGGTAGCTCCAAGCCACTTAAGGCTTTAGCTGGGGCTGGGAAGCCAGGTCAGCAGGGCTGAGTGTCAGCTGCATCAGCCCCCTCATGCAGTAGCCAAGACAGCAGGGCTCTGCTCCTGGGCCTGAGGCAGCTGCTGGCCAGTGGGCCGAGCAGGGACAAGAGGCAGGCTGGGTTCTTTCAGGCCCTGCCCACCTGCAGCTTCGGGCAGTGATGGAAGAGGCACAGCTGGCTCTGGAGGGGAGAGGAGCAGGTCTGCCAGCAATGCTGTTTGCCCAGCCTGGCTGTACAGACATCCCTGCTGCCTCAGCCAGCCCAACTGGGTGTCACAGCATGGCCACCTGCCCAAGGGGCCACTGCAGGGCCCAGTCCCTGGGAAGCAGAACACACTGCCTCCCCCCAAGCTGGCTTCAGGGGGAAGGAGCAGTGGGACTGATGGAACCACAGCACCCAGTGCCAACCTGCCCCCACACAGGGCTTGCATCCCCAGCAGGGGCTCAGTTTTGTCCCACTCACTGGTGACTAGAGCCCAGGACAACCAAGCTCGCTGGAGCCCTAGGTCTGCCCACAGCTTGGCCAGGGAGCCTCTTATCTGGGTAATGCCACTGCCCCCTTGCCACACCTTGCACTGTGGCCCTCAGGCCCAGATCTGGCCAATGCCATCTTGACAGAGGGAGCCACACCAGGAAACAGACACATGCCCAGTCCCAGGTCAGCCATAGAACTGGACTAGAGCCTAGATCTGGGCCTTGACTGCAAGCAGCAGATGCTGGATGTGTGGCTACTTGAAAAATCCATCCATCTCTCCTCTCCTCCCCCCCCATCCCTAGGAAATGGCTCAGCCACAAACCGCCCTTTGCTGAGCCTGTAGCCCAGGAGTACCAGCTCTGCCCGAAAAGCCCCAAAACCTGCCCGCCTGACACTTCCTCCCCTTACAACCCCCCCACTGTAGGGCACCTGTGAGCTTGTTAGGTTCCTCCTGCAACCTGCCCTCCCCCAGCAGGAGCAGCACTAAGGCCAGAGCCTGCTCAGGCCCGTACAGCCTCCCTTACAAACTGCACCAGAGACCATCCGGCTCTGCCAAACTAGTCTAACCCCCAGGAGCCTGGGACATCCCAAACAGCCCTGCTGGTGCAAACAAGTCAGGCAGAAGCCCCAGACCCTGGAGGAAGCTCCTGGCAGCAGAGCATGCACCGTGCTAGCTGTACTTAGACCAAGGGCCCCTGGCCAGCCTGGTGCAGTTCTCTAATGCAGAGGAGCTAAAGTTGTCTTAGGCTCAGCTCACAGCCCAAACCTCAAGCAACCTACAGCCACCCTGCCTGAGGCACACCGGGTTAAACCGAGAGGGAACAAGAAGTGGAAAATTATCCCCTGCCTCCCAATTAAGCACTAGTCTCTCCACAGCAGAGCAAGCAAACAGCTGGCCACAGACTCCATCCCCCTTCCCACAGACGTAACCTAGTGTGGCCCTATCCACGGGCACGAGTGAGCCATACCCACCTCCACGGGATGCGCTGTTCCACATAAAGTTTGGTGCAGAGACTGTTCAGGTAGAACCTAGCACTTTATTCAGATCTTCAGTTAATTGGTGGGATGTGAAGAACCAGACATACGTAATAAACCTCCAGAAAAATAGATCACGAAAGGCACTTTCCACTCAGGGAAGAGACCCTGGGAAAAGCATGTAAACAAGCTGGCTTCTCTGTACAACACCAGCCAAATCAGCCTCTCCCATGGCCAGTTGCCCTAGCTTCGCCCTCTCCATTTCGTTCACACCAGCCAGACCCCCTGTAGGTGTGACCCAAGGTTTTTCTGTAGGACACCTTGGCCTATCAGGGAATGCTGGAAACATGGCAAAGAATCATGGTGTCAAAAAATGTGTTAAAAAGCTGCCATCTGAGCCCAGGGCTTCTCTGTACTCACACCCTGCCCCAGAGCACAATAAATAAGCAATTAGAAAAATGTTCAAGTATGAAGGGTTATTTTTGCCACCTCTCCTCCCCTCCAAATGCACCTGTGGCTCTGAAGGAAGCTGGTTTCTCTGTAGCGACACCAACTGTCCAGAGCACAAATTGGACCTGGCTTTGAAAATAAAACAAAGTTTAAAAACCCAGGAGGAGTTCTGTGCAGTGTGGAATTCTCCAGCTTTCTTATAAAGAAAAAAATTACTCTGGTACCAAAGTGTGCAGCCTACAGACCTCGGGTACTGCCTGGGGACTTCTCTGTAATACATCCCCTGGCTGCCAAGTGCCCGTTGACAGGGGATGGTGAGGTTTGGCTAGTGCTGAAACCATGCATAGGATTGATTCTTTTTTAAAAAACCTTATTACGTACGTCCTCCCAAGAGACAGCTGAAAGCGGAGAGGTTAAAATCTGGTGCAGCTCCAGAGGGAATAAGAGCGTAAAGCGCCACAAATGGGTAAAGAACTGCCTTTGAATAAAAACTGCAGCAGGCTGGAGCTCCAAGTGGAACTTGTTGCATGCAAGGCTGGTCTGCTAGGGGGAAGCGCTCCCAGGCTAAAGCTACAGTCAGACTGAGCGTGTTACAGGCACTAGGAGGCTCTACATTCTAGACACCACAAATCATGCTGCTTGGCGGGCTGGACAGAGGCCATGGTGAAGCAGACCCCACGTGCACGGTACAAGGACAATTTCTCAGTCAGCATCTGAAGGGGACTCACTGCAGTTTAGGCTTTCGGGCTGGGTTCTCGGGCATAATGGAGCCAATCTTAGAGCATCGTTTATGCAACAGGCTGCTGCCTGCTTGTTTCTGGGCCATTACACAGGTAGCCTGTGCTCAACCAGTTCCACTAAAGGAGCACGGGCCAGAACTAGGAGGGTAGGTCTAACTCATGGTCCCCATGACAATGGACGAGGTTTGCTGAGTAAGAGCTGAGCAGGAGGACAGGATGTGAGGGAAGAGGGGCTCTTTCCCCCAGAGCCTGAAAGCTTCTCTGTAGCCTACGCCAACAGGTCTGGGGAGAAAAGCCTAACACTCAATACTTTAGCTTTTTGGGCACTTCCCAAGGAAAGCTGTCCCTACCAAAGTGGCCATAGGCTGCAGTCCTCTGATAAATGGGCTTCTTCAGATCCAGATCCCTGGAATATACAAGTCCCAAACTTAATACAGAGCAATCAATCACAAGCAAAGCAAACAAGACAGTTCAGAGGCTCTGGTTTGGTGACCTCACTCCTCAGCAGGGGGAAGTCATGGAGGCAAACACCCCCTTGGTGGAGCAGGCTTGGAACTACATATGCTGCATGGGAGGCCAAGACACCTTCCACCTTGCTATAAAACCAGACTACACGCAACTGGATTCATTCTGACTGAGGCTCCTCACTTCCTTTAAAAAGCAGTTGTTGTTTCTCAGGCTTTGTTCTCTAGATGGGTCCTAGGACACGTCGCTAGTTGCAGGTCAGTCTGAACTCTTCCTGAGAAACGACAAGTGTCCGAACTCACGTGACATCATGAGATACTTACCCGACAGGGTTACAGCATATCAGCACCTGGTGATCCATTTGGTGAAACCACTTATCTCTTCTGTTTAAGCAGCTCTTGTCTTAGCCCAATGGCTACTTCTGACTTTAAATCTGATGCTTCCAGCACAGGTTGCAAAACAGGCATGAATGCAAACAGCAGCACAACACTCCAGCTCAAAAGTGCACCCAAAGGGTTTGCTAAGATGGTTAGGCAGCCAAGTCTGCTCTAGAATCCTAGATTTTAATACAGGAGCATTTAGCCCCCGTCTTAAGGCAACCTCGGCCTTCAAGTGCTCTCAGATACTTAAGCCGCCCATTTGGTTACAGAAATGGGGTAGGGTATTAGGCAGCCCAGCCTGGAGAAGTGTACTTCTACCTCAGTGACATGGTAAGGATCCACTCCAGCAGCATTTGCACTGCCAGTCTACCCAG